AAAACATAATGCTAAAAGGGGATGCAGTTTCCCTTGTCATGCGGGAGTTTTGTAATTATTCAGTGGAATTCAGTCAATCTCTACCCAGAGTTGTCGTTCCTTGCACTCACTTTAATGACACCTCTGAGTAGATGCTAACGTCTATATTGTAAACATTGTAACAGATCCCAAGGTTTGTTTAGCTTTATACATGTACAATGGTTACTTCGTGTTTGTTCAGTTGATTGTGGAAATCTGACTTCGGACTCGCATGGACAGTGGATCAGTAATGGAACAACATTCGGTCATACGGCCTCATTAAAGTGTGAGATAGGGAGACAACCAAGTGGTCACGGGAACGTCACGTGTGGACACAGAGGAACGTGGAATGACGACAAACAGACTTGTGATCTCGGTAAGTCGGAGGAACCGTTATCATATAGATACTAAAACTATAAAATTACCTTTTAATGTCTAACAATCTGCTTCGTGGAATTATGAGCATTTATATTCATAACGCCTGAAAACAAACGTTTTCGACATCTACCTTGTGTGACTAATGGTTGTCCCAACCGTCGTAAAGTTTTTCTTCGTTTAATGATAAATTGACCTGTAAAATCAACCTGGTTTTACTTTATGATAGATATTATTGTACTAATTAACAAACCTTCTGGACAAGCAAAAATGTTTCTATTAAACCTCTAGATCTACTTCTCACGGTAGGAATGTTTCCACCGAACCTACTGCAAAGGGGACTTGAAAAAGTGTTTGCTATTTTTTCGGTCAAGTGCTAATTTCATGTGTTAACGATTGATGTCGACAGATTGTTGGTTTCGATTGTTTGAAATAAACATTTGATATGAAAGCATGACGTCAGTGGTAATTGCTTATCATCTGCCGACCAAATGGCGAGTAAAAATAAAAACTCCTTCCAAAATATGTCAAGGTTATATAGACATATAGAACAACTGCGCACATGGTAGGAAATGATAAAAACATTTTTTTTATAATTTTTTTAATAGAGACATATAAGCATCATATCACGGATACTTGCACGCGCAAAAGAGCAGCCTAATTAACATAATAAGATTATCTATGTCACATTGTTTGTCATAAGCGAAAGGACACTGAGACAGACACGATAACGACTTGCATTACATTTTACTATGTAAAATAGATACAGTCAACATATAATTGTATAAAAAAGTATAACTCGGGATTCGAAAATGATGGGAAAATATGAAACCTGAACCACAAGCGGCCTTCGGTAATTATTTTTTCAACATTTTCTCATCCTCGTTATATATTCCACCATAATACACGCACAAATAAATGCTAATCATTTCTTAAATATATTCATTCCTGTACCAGGCATATTTGACAATCTTCGCCTAATATTAAAATAAATAAATACTTTAATTGGTGTAATAATTAGTACATGTTGAATAAAAAAAAAATGAGACCATCTGTTCAACATACCTTTCTGTCTGAGATATTCGAGTAACTGCACGTCTTTGTATTGATAGTCCGCTGTAGATTACCTTCCGCTGTAAGAGACGGATACTTTGGTATAGCTGATGACGATAATTGTACCAGAACCACGAATGGGGCGGAAATAGATACGTATTGTTACTACGGTACTGTCGTTCAGCATGTATGTGAGACAGGGTGGACCCTTTACGGCAACGAAACTGCTCTCTGTATGGCAGACGGCAAGTGGTCATATGAAGACCAGGTGTGTCGGCAAAATCCAGGTAAGAAGCATGAAATATCATTATTCAGACTTTCACGTTTAACGTAAGAATCGTTTTAAATTATGTTATAACCGCAAATTTTCATATATCATCTGTTAATATAAGTAAAAGCCTAGAGGTAAAGGCATTTTCCTGGCCAATACATTGTCTTTTGTTATTTTTGTATTCAAGAAATCAAATTGAAGTTATAAGGATACAGGCGGTAAACAGGTTAACACATTTTCTCTGTTTTGAACAATCCATATCAACTCGTGTAGCACTGATGAACAACAGCAGGACCGGATCTAAAACTTACGCATGTAAGGGAATGGTATTGTTTTGGGAACTCAAATACCAACCAATTGCATATCCCAAATTAAAAGAAAATGCTTAAAGCTTAAAAGATAAATGAAACGATAAAGCCCTAAATGTCTTATAAGTCAAAAGACGAAACACAACTACAAATTTCCGATATTTCTTGGCTAGCCTTCAACAATCCTACTCTTAATGTGTTCCGTTGTGATAACAAACGATTTATCATATACTCGTACTTACGTTACAGCCTCCAGTAGCACTTCGCTAGGCTCGACGGTTGGAGGTCCAGTAGGCGGACTATCTGGTGCTACATTTACTGTAGCCATCATAGTATTCATCATAAGGCGTCGCAGAAAACGGACACGTTCTTCTCCTTTGACTGTGAGATATTCTCCCGAGAAGAACTACATAGTCAGTGGTAACCTTTAGTATATCAAAGTGTACAAAAGTGGAGAGCGATGGAAATGGCAGAAAATAGTGGTAAATACGGTTTTTATTTAAACTTATCCCGTAAAGATGTAACAAAATTGCTCTCAATTAATTCGTTAATGATGTGGCAATAAAATAAGAACAGTGGATTGTTTTAACCGATTGTAATATTTTGGCAATTTATTGTGCAAAATTCAAAAAGTAATTCCGGAAGCATAGCTTTTATATGTTCATGGAGGTATGAAAAGATAAACATCGACCAGTGGTGTTTGTACCCGAATGAAAACAATCGGAAAAAGAGGACATACCCTTTTCAACATATTTATCATGATATCCTTAGGATTTCATCTTTCTTTAACTGATGAAATTGTGTTTGTGTACCTGATGTTTTCGTGCATTATCATACCGACAACGCAGCGCTAAAAATACTGACACTACACAGAACAAATCATAATAACGTCACAATAAAATCCCCAAACGTCATTTGATTGTTTTATATCATTCACTGTATTCATTAGTAGTATTTCTTGTCTGTACATTTACTCTCTATTGTCTTTTTGTGTCTGTTGTTATTAACTGTGGATAAATATGTGTTGATTAAGTATATGGGTACCTGCGTAAACCCATACCAAATGAGTATCTGAAAGAAATTACAAATATTAGATTATCTTCTCAGAACTTAAATGTAGAAAAAGGGCGATATCAAAACCTTGAGCGGAATCGTCGAGTGTGTAATTTATGAAATTTAGATGATGTTGAAGATGAGTTTCTTTAAATTCTTTAATGCCCATGTTATTCTGATTTGCGAGCAAAGTTTTTAATACTTATTACACTAAAAAGCCAAGCATTGATAGGACAGCTGAGTGTGAAAAGTGTAAAACAAATAAGGAACTTAGGAAAATATATAAAATTTGCAAATTCGAAAAGAACACGATTATTATAAATAGCTTAGTTGAACTCTCCAGGCATATACTGTTTCTATTTGTAATTGTGTTGCGAGTGTGTGTAATGTTGTGTAATGTTATTTTGTATTTTGCACTGT